GCTTTTACCTCTTACTAATAGCTCAGTCGCTTTTGAAATGTATTTTCCTGAGGGTTACCAACAACAGAAAGTTCTTTCCAGCTGTGAGACTGGAGACACGAAGGCTACGTCTACACTGGCATGATTTTCCGAAAATGCTTTTAACGCAGGATGCTTTTCCGCAAAAGCACTTTTTGCGGAAAAGCGTCCGTGGCCAATCTAGATGCGGTTTTCCGCAAAAAAGCCCCGATGGCCAGTTTTCGCAATCGGGGCTTTATTGCAGAAAACAGTACTGTGCTGTTTACACTGGCCCTTTTGCGCAAAAGTCTTTCGGAAAAAGACTTTTGCCCAAACGGGAGCAGCATAGTATTTCCGGAAAATCACTGATGATCTTACATGAGATCGTCAGTGCTTTTCCGGAAATTCAAGTGGCCAGTGTAGACAGCTGGCAAGTTTTTCCGCAAAATCACATGATTTTGCGGAAAAACTTGCCAGTCTAGACACAGACGAAGTCTTTTCAAAATGGTTTCATGTAGTTCTTTGCTAAACTGCAGATACCCCTAGTCTCCCTTTTGCTGTTTCAAGAACCTTATTTACTACCTGTACTTAAATTAAGGTAAGCACACACTCCTTTGTTTGAGACCAGCTTCACCAGTTCTGCCTGACAGGGGCTCCCTGGGTTTGAACATGTGCCAGTAACATCATTCATGGCAAATCATAACTTTACATATAATGTTGCTGCACATTTTATCAAGGGATATGAAAAGTTAACTGGTAAGCATCAGCCATTTCCAAAAAGTCTTTTTTAAAAGCTGTCCAGGAAGGAGGGGAAGAAAGTTAGGCAGCACAGATCATCCCCTCATTATTTTATTTACAGATTAAGCCTAATATTCACTGTACCAGTTTTGGTCTATTAGTTTTTGAACTCACATCTTTTAAAATAGCCCTTGCATTATATTAGTATGCATTTTTATTAGATTAACTTAATCTCGTTTAATTTTCCTGCACCTTTTAATAACATTTGTACTGAAGATCGCTTCACCTAGCTTTCATGATTAATTCTCAAGCAAGCAAAGTTATAAGCCAAATTGTCATTCCAGACCAAAGTCAAGTATTCTCTAGAGTTTCAGCTTTCAACGACTATTGTTGCAGAAGAAAACATCAAAATGTAATTAAAGTTTAACCAATACATAGATGTCTGCCTGAGTTTGCAGAAAGCTGGAAAAATAGCATCACCCATTCATTTCATCAGGCTAACTTAGTTGCAAGGAACAAAAAACAGGACTATGTAGCACTTTAAAGACTAACAAGATGGTTTATTAGGTGATGAGCTTTCGTGGGCCAGACCCATTTCCTCAGATCAAATAGTGGAAGAAAATTGTCGACCGGTTGATCTTTATCGACCTGTTGGTGACCACGGTTATATATGGTTGTGACAATTTTCTTCCACTATTTGATCTGAGGAAATGGGTCTGGCCCACGAAAGCTCATCACCTAATAAACCATCTTGTTAGTCTTTAAAGTGCTACATAGTCCTGTTTTTTGTTTCAGCTACACCAGACTAACACAGCTACATTTCTATCACTATTTAGTTGCAAGGATGATACTTCAAGCATCTATATTATTGACTCTTTCATTCCTCATAGAATCATAGGGCTGGAATACTTGGGAATACTGCTGTATTACATTTCAAGTGTCAGGAATCTGTTCAAATAGGAATTATTTCAGGAAGTTCTATGATATGCAGAAGGTCAGACTGGACGACCACTGTAGCAACTTCTGGCCTTGGAACTAATATGTATAATGACACTGTTGTAGACCCAAAGAATAAATGTAATATAGCATGCTGAGAGATCACTTGATCTTTTCTGTATTCTGAGTTGATCAAGAGTTAATGAAGCTTCAGAAACAATTTCTTTAAATTGTGCAATACAAGGCTCTCTTAGACACAGATATATCTAAGACAGGGGGGTCAGCAACCTTTCAGAGGTGGTGTGCTGAGATTTGACTTATTCACCTCGGCTACGTCTAGACTAGCATGATTTTCCGCAAATGCTTTTAACGGAAAAGTTTTTCCGTTAAAAGCATTTGTGGAAAAGAGCATCTAGATTGGCATGGACGCTTTTGCGCAAAAGCACTTTTTGCGGAAAAGCGTCTTTGCCAATCTAGACGTGGTTTTGCGCAAGAAAGCCCCGATCGCCATTTTCGCCATCAGGGCTTTTTTGTGCAAAATAGTTTTTAGCTGTCTACACTGGCCCTCTTGTGCAAATACTTTTGCGCAAGAGGGCTTTTTCCCTGAACGGGAGGAGCATAGTATTTGCGGAAGAACACTGACGATCGTACAGGGGAAGTTTCTCCCTAATCCTTGTCTGTAAGTGGTTGGTTCCACGTAACATGAGGATTTATGATTTTCCATGCCAAATCTTAGCTCCTATAAACTCCTTTTCTTTTCATTCTTTAAAAAATAGTGCCAATGGACGACATTTAAGTTGTGCATGTATCAATAATGGCAATGCTTTCTAAGGAAATGTTTATCTATACTTAAGAGTACAAGAATTTGTTGGGAGAGGAGTAATAGAAGTATAATTAAATAGTAATACTATGAATTTAAATATTATTACTTCAATATCATCGGGAAAAAAAGGTAGATTAAAAGAAGCAAGAGGCGTAATCAAACAATGCATTTTTTACCTCACTATCTGGACTAGGCTGGATAACTTCCCAGGTCTGAGAGTCCACATCATAGCAGTGAAGTTCATTTGGCAATGTGTTATCTGCAGCACCACCAAACACATACAAGTGGCGATCAAAGGCAACCATGGTGTGACCATATCTTCGCTGTGGAGGAGGAGGGGAACCCCGAAGTAAGTGTTCAGTAGGAATTCGTGTCCAACTGAGACACAAGACATGAAACAAAAAGCAAATATTTTACAACTTCTTTCTTCAAAATTAGTTTTCAAAAGTGAAGATCTCAGAATTCCCAGAGGATTCTATCAATTAGACATGGAAAACACCAACTATAATTTTTCCTAACCAAACTCTACCAACCCCTTCCCCATACACACACAGTATTTAAATAAAATCAATGTTTTGGGGAGGAATCATAGTTTCATAACATAATATGATTAATATTATTTGGCGCCATCAATTCAAATTTGTATTACACTTGCAGTCAGAGCCCAACTCTGGCAAAGGTCAGGACAAGATACAAGACTGGCGTACTTTGTTTTATGCTGTATTGTGTTTCATCATTGTGGTAGTTTTCAAAGATTCCGAGATTTTATGTCCCATTATGATCATGTAGTCTGATCTCCTGAATAATACAGCCTGAGAACCTCACCCAGTAATTTCTGCATCCAATTCATAACTTCTATTTAAGCCCCCTACCTGTCTGGCCCGGCACAGCTGGCTTACCAAAGCTTATCTGACCGTGACTCGTTGTGCTATTACAAGGTCAAGGAGGCGATCCTTGACCAGCTGGGCATTTCCCCGGAGACATACAGACAGCGGTTTCAGGCGGCAAAGTATGGAGCGGGGGAGCGACCCCGGGCGGTCGCCCAGCGGATCCGGGAAGCCGGGCTGCGGTGGCTGGAACCATCTAACAAGACCGCAGTTCAGGTGGCCGACCTGGTGGTACTCGAGCAGTACTTGCAGGTGCTCCCCGCGGAGGGCCAACAATGGGTACGCCGACACCTGCCCGGAACCCTGGAAGAAGCCGTGACGCTCGTGGAGCACTTCTTGGCGGCCGAAGCACCGGAAGGACACGGCAAGGTAGGAGCAGGGACTAACCCGGTGGGCCGGGGAGACCCTAGCCCCAGAGGGAAGGAAGGGTGGGACAGTACGGGGCCCAGGGCTAGAAGCCCCCCAACCCGAGGGCGTCGATTAGCCCGTGTGGCACGGGACCGAGCACCGCGAGAAAGCGGAACCACGGACCGGGGCCGAAAAGAATATGGAAGAAACGCCGGGGGCCCAGGCAAAACCAACTTGCTACCAGTGCAGCCAGGAGGGCCACTTTCGCCGGGATTGCCCCATGATGGATTGCACGTTCGGACAGCCCAAACCCCGGAGAGGCCCGCGACCGGAGGTAAGCCGGGCCCGCATAACAAGACAGGTACGCCTAAATGGGGAGGCGGTGGAAGCCGTACTGGACTCGGGGTGCGGGCAGACGCTAGTGCGGCGGGACGCGCTAGGGAAAGTGGTACACACCCGACCCCCGGTGTGGATTAAGTGCGTTCATGGGGACACCCGGTCATACCCAACGACCTGGGTGAAAATACACGACGGGCAACAGGGCGGGGAACTGCGAGTAGCAATAACACCCCGGCTACCCTGCCCCGTGTTATTGGGAAGCCGGGCCCGCATAACAAGACAGGTACGCCTAAACGGGGAGGCGGTGGAAGCCGTACTGGACTCGGGGTGCGGGCAGACGCTAGTGCGGCGGGACGCGCTAGGGAAAGTGTTGCACACCCGAACCCCGGTGTGGATTAAGTGCGTTCATGGGGACACCCGGTCATACCCAACGACCTGGGTGAAAATACACGACGGGCAACAGGGCGGGGAACTGCGAGTAGCAATAACACCCCGGCTACCCTGCCCCGTGTTATTGGGTAGAGACTGGCCCGGACTGCGGCAGCTCCTAGGGGAATGGGACCCCAGCGACCAGAGGGGCGCGCAGGAGGCGTGGGCTACCCAGGAGGAGGACGCGGGGCCAATGCCCCCGCAGGAACCAGATAGGGGGGAGCCACTGACAGCCCTGGAGATCGATAGGGGCGACTTCCTAGTCCTTCAGCGGGAAGACCCGATGCTGCAGCACGCGTGGGAGAACGCGCTGATTACCCGGGAAGAGGGCAAAGGGGCCGAGCGGCGACCCGAGCAGGGCCCCCACTTAAAAATCCAGGGGGACCGTCTTTATCGAGTCCCGGGGACAGGAGACGGGGAAACCCAATTAGTCGTGCCAAAGGCGTATCGGTGGCGGGTGATGGAGATGGCCCATGATAATCATTGGGCCGGGCACCTGGGGACCGAGAAAACACAGCAACGGGTGCTCCAGAGGTTTTATTGGCCAGGGGTGTACCAGAACATTAAGGATTTTTGCAGGTCATGCCCGCAATTCCAACGGACCGCAGGGGCCCGGGTACCCCGAGCAGCCCTAGTGCCCATGCCGCTGGTGTCAGAGCCCTTTGAGAGGATAGGCATGGACCTGATAGGACCCCTGGAGCGCACTCGGAGAGGGCACCAGTATATTTTGGTAGTAGTCGATTACGCAACACGCTACCCGGAGGCCGTTCCCCTACGCAAGACCAATGCAGCCACGATAGCCAACGAGCTCGTGAAGATGTTCGCTCGGGTTGGACTCCCGAAGGAGATCTTGACCGACCAGGGCACGAATCTGGTGTCGCGTCTAATGAAGGAGCTATGTAACTGGCTGCAGGTGAAGAAGATCCGCACCGCGGCCTACCACCCCCAGACGGACGGCCTCGTGGAACGATTCAATCAAACTTTGAAGGCGATGCTGCGACGTTTGGTGCAGGATGATCCGCGCGATTGGGACAAGCTGCTACCGTCCCTGCTCTTCGCAATACGGGAGGTACCACAGTCCTCGGTGGGGTTCTCGCCGTTTGAACTATTGTACGGCCGGCGGCCGCGAGGTATACTAGACTTAGTGCGGGAAGGGTGGGAGGAGCAGACGTCCTCCGCACTGGGGGCCGTCCAATACGTAATTAAGCTACGGGACCGTATGAGGACCATAGGGAGGTGGGCACGGGAAAACCTGGAGAAAGCTCAAGAAACCCAAGCCCGCC